GATTATCTTCTGGGCTTCACTTTTTGCGAAAAACGGCTGCAGACCGCTAGATCGTGGGCTGTCGCCAATTTCGAAGCCCTGTCTCCCTTGGTGTTCTTCGTTTCTATCCTCCTGCCTCCGCGCACCCTTTCTGCCCTTTTCTGTCACTACCGACGTGACCGTTCGGATCAGTAGCTATGGTAAAATAGTCACCCTCTGGAACCGATCTGACGATCTTGTCCGTCATGTAGAAGTCATCCTTCTCGTGCTCGGGGCGGCCAGCTTGCGTTACGTACATAGTCACTGTTGTCCAGTGTTCCTCCTTTGTGTCCATTCTCACTGCCATGACTTGATCACGAACACTGTTCACAGAGGAGACGCAGTCCTTGAGGGGCTCCGCTGTGAACAGTGTTCGTATGTGCTATTGTTATAGCCACACCCTTCCGCTTGACATCTCCCCTCTGTCGAGAAGTTTGACCCCTTTTCCAAGCCTCACAGGCCTTGACTGCATTCCAGCGCCAAGGCATAAGACTCGGATCTCCTTCGTTTCACCGGATTTTTCAAAATTTTCCGGTCAGCGATCCCATGCTCGGAGACCGCAACTTAAACTAACTTCTTTAGCCGAGCTCGTTAGCTTCTCGGTTGCCCTCGCACACGGATCCCAGTGGTGCTGCGCGCCACTTCGCGTGACGTCCTAGCACAAATATAAACATAAAGGTTTCTCAGCGACTTGCAATCACGGTTGTTGTAACGAGGGTCTCCATCAGCCGGCACGCCAACTTGGGTCTGACGCTAGTATCGGCACCATTTTTGAAATTTCTGCAGAAAGTGATCTTCGCCTCGGTAGGGATCAAACTCGTGGCTTTTTCAGAGTAGGTGCAAACATGAGCCCACACTCTTAACCACTCGGCTACCCTGCTTCAGAAAGTGTCCATCTTCTTATGAACTGAAAGAGGGTAATGCAGCGATAGCGTTAACAAGAGCATCTCAACAGTAGTATCCACCCACCTGACTACCTCACCAACATATGACCTGTTCAGAAGATATCCGTGCAGGAAACAAAAGCGGCTCTGTGGAACAAGAAGGCCGGTAAAGTAGCAGGCTACGACGACCTAACCGCCTGTCTGTCGGAGTCGAAATCTGTGGAAGTCTGGCTGTCTGCAAAGCCTAACGATCCCGTTTGAGAAGGAGAAGGGCAGATTGTTGTAACTTCCGTACTGCAGCTCATCGACGCCATACATATCGCTCGCTCATCGCTCGCCTCTTGCTGAAGAAAAATCGAGAGAAGCAAAGCCCGTGTCTGTAGCGTTCCGAGGGGAAAGGTCAACAGGTCAGCTCGACCATTTTCAATTATGTGCGCACTGTACGCGTACTGAGACGGTGAACTCCATTCTACCTTCAAGATTTGCGGAACGACCTTTCAAACGGAGGTATGGAGGGTTTTATCCTCGCGTGATTGTTTTACATGTTTCTCTGAGGAAACGTGGAAGCGTCCTTGCATATGTCGGAGGGTTCTTCTAATACGTGGTAGTGGAGCGCGATGGGTAGCGAGCGGGTTTCCCAGGTGAGAGATCGTGGATCCAACTCGTTCTTTTTTACATTTTTCGTCGACATGGTCGACAAAGCTTCTAACATTTAGTCTGCCTCTGCCTATAATCTGTGAAAGAACCAGCGATTAGTTTTTATCGGAAGTATAGACCCGGTGTGGCCTGAAAAAGCGCTAGTGCCTGTCCCCTCATATCACATGTCTCGAGGGTTTTTGCACTGAATTAGTGTGATATGCACGTCTAGCAGGTCAAACTACCCTTGTGAGTAGATTTCTGGCCAAATTTGAGTTTTCAGCTCGATTGGAAAATTTGGTCTTCTATGGGTCGATTTCGTTTGTCTCCCTCCTCCACCATTGTGGATTATCTTCTGGGCTTCACTTTTTGCGAAAAACGGCTGCAGACCGCTAGGCCGTGGGCTGTCGCCAATTTTCGAAGCCCTGTCTCCCTTCGGTGTTCCTCGTTCCTATCCTCCTGCCTCCGCGCACCCTTTCTGCCCTTTTCTGTCACTACCGACGTGACCGTTCGGATCAGTAGCTATGGTAATATAGTCACCCTCTGGAACCGATCTGACGATCTTG